CCATAGTGGCTGCACCAAACTGCATTCCCACCAGCAGTGTAGGAGGCTTCCCATTTCTCCACAGACTCTCCAGCATTTGTCATTTTTGGATTTTTGAATGATGGCCATTCTGATTGGTTGTGCCTTAGTTTTCTATTTGAAATTTGAGTTGTGGTGAGGATTGAATAAACAATACTGTTAGAGCAGTTCTAGGCATATAGGAAGTGCCGTATTAATCTTAGCTCTTGTCGTGTTCCTGGGTAAGTCACTTATCCACTCTGGGTTTAAAGTTTCCAGGTGTAAAATGAAAGATTTTGACTAGATTTTCTCTAAGACCCTCCTGAATCGATTGTTTTCAAATGCTTACAGTCCATGTGCTTTTCTACATATGTATGTAGTTTGTGATAGGAAAGTGCATGATTAGTTAGTAAATGCTTTCCTTGTTTGATGGAAGGAGAGGTTATTAGGTAATTGAGACAGTCTTCTTCACTAGGCTAAATTCCTTGAGGGCAAGAGTGTATCTTTTCCTCCTCAAGATCGCAAGGCCTAATGTGGTGCCTGGGGACAGTGGGTGTTCTGTAAACTGTTAATGGATATGGAATAAATGCCTATGTCTTGTGTACCCAGGTATGTGGGAATGGGAAAGGTTTGTAACATCTTCCTAAGACTTATCTCAATTAAAGCTACATACACTGAATATTCAAATAACATTAGTGCTTTCTACTGGAGATATTCCTAGTACAGGAATTCAAGTTTGAGTTTTTGATGGCAAATTCTGATTTGAGTTCGTAAGTCCTGCATTTGAGGAGTAGAGTATAGCAGATACACATAGTTTACTGTGTTGCAAGCACAGATTTTGTGTTATGGCATTGAGGATGGCATTCTCAGCTTTAAAATGCCAAGTCTCGTTTCTTTGTCATGTATTTATGCCTTTCTTCCAGAGCACCTGTATCTACACATTTGTAGACATGTTGTGTTTGCTCATTCATTTTAATTTAAAAAAAGAGAGAGAGAGAAATAGCATTAATTAAAAAAACTTAACGTTAAGAAAATGAAAAGACAACTAACAGTATGGTAGAGAATATTCACAAATAATATATCTGACAAGGGACTTGTATCCAGAATTCATAAAAACAAAACTAAGCTAAACAATGGGATTTACACTTCCCATGTATTATTTTCTCTATACCTCAGTTTTTTTTTTTTTGGATTACTGGTTTCTTTTTCATTAATGGAATATTTTCTAATATTTTTTTTAATTTATTTAGTGATTTTCTTGCTATATAATTTTAGTTATTTACTTAGTGATTTCTTTAGGCCTTACCATATATCTTATCAAAAACAGTTTCAGAATTACACCAGCAATTTCAGAGAATGTAGAAACAGCATTCCCATATAGCTGTATTCTCTTTTCTTTCTTACTGTGGTATTCTTGCCATAGGTATTATCTCTATGCATGTTATAAGCCCAACAATACATCAATATAATTATTATTCCTTTATGTAATTTAATGTCTTTAAAAGAAACTGAGAGAAGAAAAGAGAACAAGTTTATATGTATAACTTTTTTCTTTTTTTTTAAATTGATTTATAGTCAGTTTACAATTTTTTTCAGTTTCCAGTGTAGAACACATTTTTTAAGTTATATGTATAATTTTTTTCATATTAGCCTTCTTTCCATTTCAGGTTCTATGCATTTGTTCCTCTGGATTCAAGTGAAACATCTGAAGTTAATTCTTAACCCAATGTTGGCTTGTTCTCACCAACCTCCTTGCCCTGATCTTGGTAAATATATTACATTTCTGTATGTTATTTGCCCACAACTACAAATAAATATATATTGCTTTAGGCTTTTTAAATAAGATAAGAGAAGAAAGGATAAAAAATAGGCATTTATACTCCTTTATAATTGCATAATTACTTTTATCAGTGTTCTTGGTATTTTTTGTGTGTGTATTCAAATTACTGTCTTGGGTCACTTGCTTTCAGCCTGAGGAACTAACTTTAGTATATCATGTAAGGTAGGCCTACTGGCAGCAGATTCTTTCAGATTTTGTTATCCAAATATCTTTTGATTTCATCTTCATTTTTAAATGATAATCTTGCTGGATATAGGATTCTTGATTAAGAGTTTTTAAAATTTGAGGGCTGAGAATACATTATCCTTTTGCCTTCAGCCCTCTATTGTTTCTGATGATACAGATAGTCATTTTTCTCTTGCTACCTTAAAATTTTTCTTTGGCATTTTTACTATGTGTCTATTCATGGGTCTTTTTAAGTTTATCCTACTTGCAGTTTGTTGAACTTCCTGGATATGTAGATTTAAATTTTTTTAGTAAATTTGGGAAATTTTAGCCACTAATTTTTCAAATATTTTTCTGCCCCTTTCTCTTTCTGTTATTCTGGTACTGCCTTTACATGTCTGTTGACATACATTAGTGTCTCACATTTCTCTGAGGCTTTCCTCATTTTTTCTTCATTCTTTTTTCACTCTGCTCTTTGGATTGCATAATTTCTATTGATCTATTCTTAAGTACTTTTACCTCCTGCCATTTTAAGTGTATTATTGATCCCATCTAGTGAATTTTTAAATTTCAGTTATTGCTCTTTTCAGCCCCAAAATTTCCATTTGGTTATTTTTAATAATTGTTGTCTCTTTATTAATGTTCTCTATGTGATGTGACACTGTCATCATGTTTTACTTCTAAAATCATGGTTTCCTTTGTTTCTTTGAACATGTTTATAATGGCTTTTTTTCTCACATCTGGTCACTCTTGCAGGTGGTTTTATTGCCTGCTTTTCTTCTGGTATCTAGGCCATAATTTTCTGCTTATCTTGCATGTCTCAAAATATTTTTTGGAAAATGAACATTTTTGATATTGCAGCAACTTTGATTACTGGCTTCATCTCACCCCTCTTTCAGTGCTTGTCATTGTTGTTAGTTTGTTTACTTGTTTAAGGACTAACTGGATCATTTTAGTGATGTCTGTTCCCTGCTCCTCCTCCTCTATCCCCTAAACAGACACAGGATAAAGCCTCTGATGTTTTTCCTCAGAGATTTGTCCTTGGATATGCCCAGCCACTCTGGGATAACAGGGTTTTAGCAGGACTTTGGCAGTGTTTGTCTAGTTACCTGACCACACTAACTACTGGTTAAAAGCTCTATTGTTCATAACAATGCCCTGGAGAATAAATTATTTACATCCTAATCCAATCATATTCAGGCTGGTATGAAAGGACAGTTCCTAATGGCCAATGTTTGAAAGTTATTCAGACTCTAGTTCTTGCAGTGGTTTTCTCATTTTTCTCCAGCAACTAGTTGGCTTATCATTTAGCCTGCATCTTCAATGAATTTATCAGTCTCCTCTCCATTGCCTCTCACAACACTTCTACTGTTTTTGAAAGCACCCTTAGATTTGAACTTCATATGCTGTTGCAACTAAAGTTGGCTCCTTCGGGGAGATAATTTAAGCTCTCTGTTTTATGGCCTACCTTTACTCCCAGGGAAAATCTCTGAGCCACAACTCTGGTGCTGGAGTAAGTAACAATAGGTCAATTCTAAGTGACAGCCCAGTTTGAAGAACTAAGTGCTCAGTGGATATATGGACAAGAGCCCCAGGTGTCTTGGTCTTGTCTCCCTTGGCACAACCCCCTGTCCTATGAGCTGAGACAAGAGCAATTGTGACCTCAGTGTCCTACCATGTCCAAGGTAGAACCTTTGTCTCATGAGAGAAAACAGTGTAAGAATTGAGTCCCAAACTGTTGGCTGCACTTGTCCAGAACTTTGCCTCATCAACAAGCATCTTGGGGCAGTATGACAAATGCTAATGCCCTGTCCTTCTCAGGAAGGCAAACCTCCAACCAGGACCTGGGGGGAGTCAGAAACTTGTGTTCTTGGTTGTACAAATCTGGGTGGAGTTCCCAGCTCAATGAGTGGAGGGGGTAACAGTACAGATCTTCAAATACTAAAGATTCATCATTTTATGGAGTTTTAGTAAATATTCTTGAGTAAATGTGTCCTTATTTGCTGTATATCTGTAGCAGCACTTCCATTTTTGTATGCTCATAAGGCCAACTATTTTTAAATGGGTTTTTAAAAAATAATTTTCATCAGTTTTGCTGAGGAGTGATTCTGAGTTGCACACCATCATGCCAGAAGTGGAGCCAGGAAGGGGAAACTGATCCAGTATAGATTAGCATTCTCTTTAGCTGAGGGCTTGATGTATCTTTGGTTGCTAGTGGAAAGCCTAAGATATATTTGTAGTATTAAAAATAAAAATTAAAAAATAATTTTCTAATGTTAGTATCTTAGAAGCAAAACATAAGATGGCAATTCCTGTTGATGATTTGTTGCTTGAATCCTCTGAGAAGAAATCTTTAGAGAAATGGAGACATAGGAGGTTGCCAGGCATTTCTCAAGGGAGATCATATGTGCATTTCTAGCAGCCAGCACTCATGTCTTGGGATGGATATTCTGCTGTAAAGAGAGTAAGAGAGTTCAATAGCAGGTATCAAAATCTAAATCAACCTCATAAATATAATCATAGTAAAGAATATGTAAAGACTAAAGAGACTCAGTGATATAACAGCCACTCTTAATGGACACTTTCTACCTTTTAAGGAAGTACACTTACTATCTCTAATTCTCATGATCACACAGTAAATTAGATATTCCTACATTTATGCAGGAGATTAGACCTAATCTCTTCTATTTAACATAGTATTAGAAGCACTAGCCAGTGTAATAATACAAGGGAAAGAAATAAAGAGATTTAAAATTGGAAATGACATAATAAATCCTCTCTTAATACACGACATGATATTAAATATAGAAATATCAAAGATTTCACCAAAAAATAATAGAAAAATAAACAATTCAGCAAATTTGGAGGATACAAAATCAACAATTAAAAATCAATTGCATTTTTATACACTAACATGACAATTCATAAAATTAAGAAAGCAATCTTATTTAAAATAGGATCAAAGAGATTAAAATAATTAAATATAAATTTAGCCTAGAAGAAGACTTGTAAACATTGAAAACTATAAACATTGCCAAAAGACATTAAATAAGGTATAAAAAATAGAAAGACACCCACGTTCATAGGTTGGAAGTTTTAATATTGCTAAGATGTCAGTACTATCCAACACATCCTACAGATCTGATGCAAGTCTTTTCAAAATTCCAATATTTTTCCAGAAAAGAAAAAGTCGTTCTAAAATTCATAGGGAATTTCAAGAGACCCCAAATATACAAAGAAAAAATCTTGAAAGAGAAGCACAAAGTGGGAGATATCATACTTCCTGATTTCAAAACTGACTACAAACTATTGTAATCCAAATAGACATATAAACCAATACAGTAAATACATATTCTCATATGCGGCCAAATGATTTGGTAATTGTGTCAAGACCATTCAGCGGGGAAAGCACAATATTTTCAACAAGTAATACTGGGGAAATTCGACATTCAAATGCAAAAGAATGAAGTTATACCCTTACCTTCCTCCATATTCAAAAATTTACTCAAAATAAAACAAAGATCTAAATGTAAAAGCTGAACAAAATCTCTTAGAAGAAAACGTAGGGGAAACCCTTCATTCTATTGCATTTGGCAATGATTTCTTGGATATACACCAATGTGTGTGCAGACAACAAATGAAAAAATAGATAAATTGGCTTTTACAAAAACTTAAAAATTTGTGCATATCAAAGGACAATATCAAAAGATAAAGGGAACTCACAGGATGGGAGAAAATATTTACAAATCATACATTTGATAAGAAATTAATATTCAGAATATATAAAGAACCCTTTAACTCAGCAACAACAAAAACAAAAAACAAAGAGCTCAATTCAAAAATAGTCAAGGACTTGAAAAGACCTTCTCCAAATAACAGAGATAAATGGCCAGTAAGTACCTGAAAAGGTGCTCACCACCATTATTCATTAAGGAAATGAGATATATTTCACACACATTGATATGGTTGCCATTTCTTTAGAAACAGAAAACAAATTTTGGTGAGGATGTAGAGAAATTGAGAACCTTGTACATCATTGGTAGGAATGCAAAATTGAACAGCTGCTGTAAAAAACAGTATAACAATTCCTCAGAAAATTAAACATAAAATTACCATTTGATTCAACAATTCAACTTCTGGTTATATATCTCAAAAGAACTGAAAGTAAGAACTAAAACATATAGTTGTACACCAGTGTTTATAATAGCATTATTCAAAACAATAAAAAAATGGAAACAATCTAGTTATCCACCAACATATGAATGGGTAAATAAATTGTAGTGTATTAGCTGGTCAGAATGGCTGTCATCAAAAGAACACAAATAACAAATATTAGCAATGATGTGGAGAAAAGTAACCCTTGGTAGCCTCTTGGTGGGAAAGTAAATTCATGCAGCCACTGTAGAAAATATTATGCAGATTTCTCCAAAAATCTCAAAACAGAATAACTATATGACCCAGCAATTCCACCGCTGGGTATATAAAACCAAAACCAAAAACAAATACAAAAACAATAATTTGAAAAGATACATGCATGTCAATGTTCATAGCATCATTATCTACAATTGCCAAGGTATGGAAGCAACCTAAGTGTTCATGAACAGATGAATGGATAAAGAAGATATGATACACACACACACATGCACACACATATAGACAGATAGATATAGATAGATATAATATGTACAGATATTTACTCTATACTATACACACACACACACAGTGGAATACTACTCAGCCATAAAAAATGAAATTTTGCCATTAACAGCAACATGGATGAACTTGGATGGCATTATCTAAGTGAAATAAGTCAGACAGAGAAAGAAAATTACTATATGATATCACTTATATGTAGAATGCAAAAAATACAACAAACTATTGAATATAACAAAAACAACAAAAAAGAAGCAGACTCACAGATATAGAGAACAAGCCAGTGGTTAACAGTTGGAAATCCAGTGGGCAATATAGGTTTGGAGGAGTGGGAGGAGTGGGAGTAGCACAATATTGAGTATAAGACAGGCTACAAAGATGTATTGCACAACATGGGGAACATAGACAGCATTTTTGGAATAATTGCAAATTAAGTGGAAATGCAAAAAGTTCTTATTAAAAATTAAAAATTAAAAAAATAAAATTAAGAATGTAGTATATTACTTACCTATGG